TAATGGGTTCGGCAAGGAACAAATTGAATGAGAGAAGGAACGGAGAAAGGAATTTGAAAATGAGCCGATCAAAGATTACGAAAAACTATCAATTTGTGTAATCTTTATTCCCGTTTGTGACTCCAGAAAGAGGGGGGGAGATGTTTTCTTAACTCTCAGTACAAAGGGACTCTAGTTATTTAAAGTGAAAAAGCAACAATTCTACATTTGAATAAGTTTTATTTTAAAAGAACGTCGGTTAAAGATGAGAAGAGGTAGCTATTTGACTGCCATGAAACTTCACTGCCGTCATTTTCCCGCCATACTGGTGCGTTTGAAATTCCCAGAGACAAATAGAGACCGAGCACGCCCTATTCTGCCAATGTATTTTTAGTGAGGTAGAGTCCCTTTATACCCAGAGTTAAGACAATTCACTTTTGGCTACCTTTTGGTTGGGCTGAAAGTGGCCTAAAAAAAATCCAATTCTGATTGGTTCTTGCTCATGGAGGCCGAAACGAGTGCACCAAGATGGCGGTACCTCGAATGTAAACAAGAATAATTAAAATATTACCTAATTGTGGTTTATCAAGAGTGAATTGTTATTTCCATCGGTCCAAAATGAAAATCGATTATGAAATGATTCACAAACAAAATTTGTTGATGTTGTTTTTGTGTGACAGACATCGCAGGAATCCTGATCCTTATCCCTCAATATCGTTCGTTTGGGTGCACTCGTTTCGGGCTCCATGGCCAGCCAGGGCCGGCTGCCGGTCAGCTGATAATCGAGTTGTCTTAACTCTGGGTATAAAGCATTGACGTATAATACAATCCAGAACGCGCGTTAGAAAATTTCGGCAAGACTAGAGTCCCTTCAGGCGAGACGACAAGCAACCCAGCAACACTCAATAAGTGTACCGACCGAGACAATGGAAATGCCAGTCTTATCAGTGCCGTTGCCTGATACGGGTACACTTAGCTCGTATATCCGGCGGTATTAACTAGGCTGAAGGCGCGTCTTTACACCCCTAGCTGTCTTACCTTCCCCGCCTAAAGTCGGGCCCAATGCGCGGTCTAGATTGTATTATACGTCAATGGTATAAAGGGACTCTATAGTGAGGCACATCTAATTCTCGCGGATTCAACAGAACAACAGTCATCATTTTTCTGATTTCGCCTAATGTTGACTGGTGCTAGTCGCATCTGGTCGGCTGTTAGCAATATGGCGATTTGTTTACATTCTTCCTAATCAATTGCAAAGCGGAAAATTTTCCAATTTTTCCTTTGAAACTCTTCCAAATTGTCATAAAATGACTTTTTACTAACTAAATAATTATTTCACCCCTTCTACTTAACATTTGTGATACTTTCGGTGGTTTCACTTCATGCAGTGAGAAAAAGATTCCTCGAGACTTAGCCTGGTCCTCAGTTTGTTCAACTTCCTAATGGATAATTATTTTAGTTATCGAAATGTTCTTTGACTGTAAATGGTGTATAATTTTTTTAAGTTAATTTTCTGTAAATAAGTCTGTTTCCAAAATCCTATCCCGAAGCCTAACGTAATGCATTGAACGCAAAGCGTTACGACTGCGAAGTGTCGATATGTGTCTTTGAGGAGCCGTGAAAATGAAACGGTTGGATAAGCCTGTAAGCAGTACATATTCTTTTGTGTGTGAAAAATAACTGAATGTCCAGAATTCTAAACATCTGACCGTATCTCAAGTACCTGAAGGAAATGTCGGTCAGGTCAGAGTTTGCGAATCCTTGGCAGCAGTTAATGAAATTCTCCTAAGTACTTAACAACTTTGCTCATTAAAGTTTGGTAAGTGAGAAATGTAAACCAACAATAAGTAGTGCGCGGTTCGAATGTTCGCCTGTTCTCGTCAAGAGGTAGATTCGGAGCATTATGAAAAAGTTAAAAACTGTAAATACTTAAGCTGTCACATTTCTATCTTGAAAGATGCCTGATGAAACTAAACTTAGTTTCTTTATTTCTGAATGATGAAAGGTTCTTTCGTAATTGGGTCGAAATATCACGAATTTTGATCCATAAGTTGTAAGAGAGTACCATGATGAGATCCTCTTTTCTTTGTTCGAGTTACACATTTTTCCAATTTTACAGGAAGTAGTATTAGTTGCATCCAGTATCTCGATTTATACGTATTCAATGTGTTTTCTCATCGAAATGAGCTAAGAAAAGACATTCATTTTTATTTTCACCGAATTAATGAGAGTTTTACCGCCAACTAAGCTAGCAAATTTTAACGGTGAAGCTACTTTATTTGTTTCACGACTCCCAATTTTAGGAATTCTAAGGCAAAGTTGATAGCGTATAGGAGACGGAGGAGGGTTGGGACGTTTTTTTTCTTCTAATTTTTCTGGGGTTGAAAATTGTTTCTAAAAATTGGTTTTACACATTATGGGAGTGTACAGTCATGAACTAACTTCAGTAAATTTTTGGTTTCCTTACATTGATAAATTTGAGTTTTACAACCACTTTTTCAAAAATTGAGCACAGAGCATGGACAGAGCATGAGGAGGGTTGGGACAGGTTGAAATTTGAAGCATTGTTTTTATTTTACATAATTTATTCAAAAAAATAACAAATAAAAATAGAAATCATACATACTAGTTAAATAATGAGCTACATTTGGTATCAAAAAGTTCGGTTTAACCATTTAACAATACCTAATTAAATGGAGTATATGTAATAGAAGTCCTTGTGAAGACGGAGGCACAAGGTTTTCTCTTAGGTAACCTCAGTAACAATAGGAAGGTGGATTATCTTTAAACCCAGAAAGCACAGTGTGCAAAAATTAAACTAACAATAAGGAGAACCTAATTGTGAATAGCATCTACTTAAAATCTACCTACCTACTAAGCACCTATATCATGGCATATCGTAACTTTAAATGTATTATTTATTTAATTTTTAAAAAAATTATAATAATTTTATATTATAATATATTATAATATTTTAATTAAAATAAATTATATAAATATATAATGAAAATTATAAAAATTATAAATTTAGCTTCAATGTATTCAGTAACTGCTAAGTTGATAGCATCTTGCTTAGTCTGGCCTCTTTCGCTCTTCTTTTTGTGATATTGAGGCATATTCACAGATCTGGAATGCAAAATAATGATGTAAATTACAGGCAAGTATTTTTGAACGTGTCCATTATGACAATAAATTACAGGAGAAGAAAGCAGAGGAAACTTCACCGAGAAGCGTTGGAACACTTTTGTTTACTGTCCCAACCCTCCTCACTAGACTTTCGTGTCAATAAAGAACATAACCTAAGTTCTCATCTTTGCAGCACCATGACACTTGGTGGAAGACAAACCAATGGAATACTCAGTGGATTAGTGCAATCGTGGATTTCATAGCTACAAACAATTTTCAGTAACTGTAAATTTACTATAGTTTGAAAAAACACATTAAATGAAGGCCAAAACAAACAAACTTACCTTATATCGGACCGGCTTGATGAAACATGACCAAAACTTCATAGACAGTGGGGGCCGATGGGTAGAATATAAATTCACCAGTCTCAAGTCATCACTACCAACCAAAAAAAAAAAAAATCCCAAATGTCCCAACCCTCCTCCATCTCCTACATCATTCCTCATTTAATGCAAGGTTGAAATACTTTATGATGGTGGCGTAAGAGACAATTCTGGTAAAATAGAGAGAAAAATCTGGAAGAAAAGTTCATAGACAAATCTCACAAACTCTATCAGATGATGGGCACTTCACCCTCCAAGGATATTTCACACTATGGAGTTATGGGCTAATACTTACAAGCATAGTATGATGGATCTGAGCGATCTCTTACCTACCTAACTTTAATGAGCAAAGTTGTTAAGTACGCAGGAGAATTTCATTAACTGCTGCCAAGGATTCACAAACTCTGACCTGACCAACATTTCCTTCGGGCACTTGAGATACGGTCAGATGTTTAGAATTCTGGACATTCAGTTATTTTCCACACACAAAAGTATTTGCACAGCTTGCGAGTTTATCCAAACGTTTCATTTACACAGCTCCTCAACAAAAAATATCGACACTTGGCAGCCATAAGGCTCCGCTTTCAATGCAGTACATCAGGCTTATGGATAGGATGTTGGAGACATCAAAAATTTGATCCACGCTTATCAATCAATACTTATCATAATGAGCAGCTTATGACATAGACAGTAAAGTTTTATCAAATTTCAATACAGTGTATCTGTAAGACTGGCAGTGCTGCTGTGATCAGGTTCTTGACAGATCTCCGACAGCTAAAATACCGCTATCCTGCGGCATGATATGGAGGTTAAATAGATTGGGAATTTGATCACAAGGTATTAATACTGTCTAGAAAAAATTATACACCATTTAAAGTCAAAAAAAAGTTCGACAACTAAAATTATCCATTAGGAAGTTGAACAATCTGAGGACCAGGCTCAGAGTCTCGAGGAATCTGCTTCTCACTACCTAAAGTGAAACCACCGAAAGTATCACGAATGTTGAGTAAAAGGGGTGAGTTAATTTTTTACCTAGTAATGAGTCATTTTATGACAATTTGGAAGAGTTTCAAAGGAAAAATTGGAAAATTTTCCGCTTTGCGATTGATTAGGAGGAATGTAAACAAGCCGCCATAATGCCAACAGCCGACCAGCATCAGTCATCATTAGGCGAAATCAAACAATATACATGACTGTTGTTCCGTTGGATCCCCGAGAATTAGATGTGCCTCACTGAAAATCCAACGTGCTCGGTCTCTATTCGTCTCTGGAGATTCCTTTGAGTTGTGAACTTTTTAAAAAGAAGCTTGTCTGGGATTTTGGCTCTAAAATTACGCAATCAATTACGACGTTATCCACTCGCTCGGTACTTTCAGAATAATAAAAAAATAGGTAGAAGATTTAGCCACCCATTTTACAACTTATTAGCTTTTCGCTAATTTCTTACACCCTACTCGGATGCAGACATTAAGTATTCCCATTTTCAGGTTGAATGTAAAAACACGTACCTACCTTCAGAGTTCCATGTGAGAGTCTCCTGTGCGTACTGAATTATGCAATCAATCTCCTGAACTTGCTTTTCTATCAGGTTGAATTCTTCTTTTCTGCTTGTCTGCCGTATTGAATTATACCTTAAATTTAAAAAGAGAGAAATAGAATGCGTTATGTTAATGAAGTTTCACAATATGTAAATACAATTGAAACAGACCCTTAAAACCATATTTCCTGACTCGACTGTTCGGACAGAAAAGATTTGTATACTTTTTTTGATAAAGATGAAAATGCGCAATTTTTACAACGAGGCAGTCGAGTTAGTTCCCTTCTGTTCGAACAAGAATCGAAGTGGAAGAATAGCGCAACGCTCTGGGTCCACTCGGAAGTAGTAAGTAAGTACCTGCATTTTTCAAGGACCAAGGATTATTTCAAAGCCAGAAAGCGAGATTTACCCTTGAACGATCTGATCCAGGTTGAAAACTAATAGAATCAACTGATTGTTTTTATTGTAAAACCTGATGGCCTCATCTGGAATTTCATATATTTGTAGCAACAGGAGATAGCGAATCTCTCTCACCGCAGCCACGAGCTGAAAATAGGGTAAAACAAATTGAAATTAAAGATACTGTAATGTAACGGAAATAATGTTTAAGAGCAGATACCTTTGAAATTCTAGAATTTTGAATCGCCGTGAAGTAACGGTTGCAGTACCGGTAAAATTACGGTTCGACGAAACTTAAAAAATTCCAGCTCACTTTACCCCAACGAAGTAAAAATTACCAATCTTTTTCCTAATTACTTTTAAACATTGCTGAAGGGAAAGTCCCTTCATTTCATCGCAATGAAGAGGAAGTTCTTTCTTTAAAATGATTCAATTATGTTTTAGGTAACCGCCCAAGATGTAGGTAATTGACTACGTCTACTCGAATGAGATAATTGACGACGTTCATGAGATATCTAAACGAGCTATCCATTTAGCAAAAAAAAAGAAAAATAGGTTCCATAAATAATATCAATTTTGAACAAAAAATCGAGGGTCCGATGAATTAATTACTTAGTCCCGACTCAATGATCATCGTGGGAAACTCTTATCCTGATAATAAACGGAAATCCGCTAATCTGCTAAGTACACAGAACCACACACACACACACACACCCTCATTCACCCTCACACACCCACACACACCCTCACACACACCCTCACACACACACACACACACCCTCACACACACACACACACACACACACAAGCAGTACACAGTACTGCTAAGTGACGGAACCTTGCATTCATGACCATGAAATCATAATTGAAACTGAGGCCATGTTTGTTTCGACCAGATATTTAAATCTTGAGGACAAGTTGGTTAATGGTAGAAATACTATTATAAGTAGAGTGTTAACATTTCTACTTGAATGTTCAACTCCTAAGACCGTATCGGAAACATATTTAATACCCTGCGAGGATTTTAAACGATCAGATGGCAAAATAAGAGGTTGATTCCAGCGAGTGGACGTTGCGTTGGAGAGCGCCACCGGACCCACTCGTGAATCCATTATTTTTATTTTTTTTATACATCTCCGTACTTTCTTCATTAAAATTACAATAAATGCAATGAGCCTGTTGCAAACTTTCGCTAAAGCAAGAATAAGAGTTGTTCCTTGTAAAATATGTCTCAAAAGTCACGATGAGCGCATTGACTCCTGGTCCAAGCGCCTGGTAGCTGAAAATGAGGCTACCTGGAATTTTTGGAACACAGCGATGTTTTTTGGGTCGCTGAATCCGAATCTGAAGTTCCCTACCGCGTATCTGGTAAGCATTTTCCGTCATTTTGAAAAAATGGCCTAAAAGGCCTTTTTGCGGTTTTTTTTATATAGCGGCTACGCATGAGAAAGAATCCCGGATTTAGCTAATGTTTTGAATAGCTGACAAAATTTGGAAGAAAATGGTATATGAATATGCTAGGTTTGCTTAAAAATTGATGAAGATACAGCATCGTGAACATCGCGCCCATTCACGATTTCGCGGCGCACCCATTAACGCGTGATCCGGCTCACCGCGGTCAGCTAAGTTCCGAAGCGTTCCAAAGTTCCGAGATCCGAGGTTCCTCAATTTTTGAGCAAACCTAGCATATTCATATACCATTTTCTTCCAAATTTTGTCATCTAATCAAAACATTAGCTAAATCCGGGATTTTTTCTCATGCGTAGCCGCTATATATAAAAAAACCCGCAAAAAAGGCCTTTTTAGGCCATTTTTTCAAAATGGCGGAAAATGCTCACCAGATACGCGGTAGGAAACTTCAGATTCGGATTCAGTGACCCAAAAACAGAAAATTAGCCAAAAAAATCGCTGTGTGCCCGAAATTCCAGGTAGGCTTACCAAGCGCCTGGACTATCCTAACTTCACAATCTGCCTAAAAAATTTGCTTTTGCATAAAATCATTATGGTGGTCTAGTAAATATGAACCTCTTCATTAATCGGTTAGAGTTAGTTGATCTTTCTTTCATGGCCTGCTTAGAAATGAGTCTTTCTGTTGGAAATCTGCACGATTGTATCGATCACAAAAAGTTGTTAGCCGTATCAAATGAAAGGAACGCTGACCAAAATTGCAGCTTACCATTCCATATTTCATTATCTTACCGATTGATAAAACAATTAATTTAAGTAATCAAACAAATATAGATAGAGACTCAAGTAACCAATTAGTTTACATTAGTTCATTGGTGATTGTTGTAAGAGATTAAATACAATCAGAAGAAAAAAAAATGTATTAAGATGCGGCTAGAGTACCTATATAGGGAGAGTATAGACAACTCGATTTATGTAGCTCTTAGAGTCCAAAGTGGCAACAACGTGAAAAAAGAAAATCACTAGAATAGTGCCGCTGCCATCCTATGCATTTGAAAGATCACTCAATATGGCGACAGCTCATTACAAGCAAGCGTTTTTAAGGATTAAAACTTTGAAACGGAGAAAATGTAAGCGAAATCAGGGTATTATACGTGCTTTTGGGCGCTTCTGGGTACCAGATGCGCCCTTTCCAGCCGTTCGACTCCCCCGATGTAACATGTACTATACTACATACCGTTTTGCCTTATGGGTAATGACGCCATTCTGGTACACCCGGGAAAATTTGATTTTTTTCTGCATCTGATATTCGTAAAAGTTTTCGTGAAATGTTTTGCTTTTAAGCATAACAATCTCGCACGGACGTATTACCTGATACGATTACGTAACGACCTGATTACGTAAACTACTTTGGGGCTTCGTTATGCTTAAATGCCTCATATTCGAGGTTGGAGTATCAGATTGATTCGAAAAAATCACGAAGAGTCACGTGATCTCTTCATTTTAGTGACGTATTACTGTGCTATTTTGTGATTGGTTCATTTTCTCGGCGCAGCATCGTCAAGCGTCAGCTGTTTGCGGCTCTGGGTTGAAGGTTTAAGGTTATGTCAGAGAGAATAGAAAGTTAGAGGCCCGACTCGATGCTAGGTAATTGAAACAGATGCGCTCGCAGCGCGCTCGCTGGCAACGTACGCAACTACTATTTTCTATTGTTTTCCAGAGACTAGCGGCGGATATGTTGCTGCCGGACCACCTTCACGTAGGCAATTTGTTATACATCGTCCGTCCGCAATACTCTCGCTTGGCCGTATGAAAACGTTCCTCGCATGCGCAGTGTTAAAGAAGCGCCCTCCAACGCTTTGGCGTTGGAACTGCTTGTTTTAATTTTTGATCACTGTATATAGTCAAGATGTGAAAATTTGTACGACTGGATAATTCGAGTTCATAGGTTGGCTCCTCTTTTGGGCCCTGAGAGTTATATGACCTGATCAAACCTAACCTCCAAAATTTCGAGTTGTCCATACTCTCCCTATAAAGGCACTTTAGATGCGGCGGGACACGAACTCGCCATCATGCAGCCCGTTGGCGGGCACGTTAACCAACGGGCGCGTTAGGCCAACCGGCCCGGGTCACTAAACCATGAACGAATTTTGACTTGCGAATATAGTCTTCTGAAGGAAAATGACGCGCAGAACACGATGCGCACATTAAAAACGCAAACAAGTAACTCAATAACCGAGAAATGCCGGTTGAAATTGCTCAACTTATACGCAAATTTAAAACGCCCCGGTTTCGCGCCAAGCCGAATCATGTCATCCGGCACCAATTAGAAGCGGACACAGGTTTCCGTCAGTCAAATGTCTATCTACTCTTCGTATATGAGAGCAATACTTAAGTCGAAATTATATCTTTTGAATTCAAAACTCAAATCTCATTCAGATGTTAGCTGTAATAAACAAGCAACAATTCCTCAGTGAAATTCGTTTTATTTAAACAAACATCAGAGGAAAATGAGAAGAGACTGCGATATGACTAGGTACCGCAGTACACCAACACCGTCAGTTTCCGGCCATTCGGGTGCGTTTCAAATGTCTTGCAGTTTTTAGATTTTTCAAAAGCGGTTTTCTCAGCGATTTCGGCTCCATAAAAATGCGGGAAAATCGCCACGTTATCTACTCACATAGTACTTTCAGAATATTTAATAAAATAAATAAGGTTTAGTGACCCATTGCCTCATTTGAGTCAAGCAGACGGTGCCGTTCGTTGCTTTGACGGCGTGGCTCTTTAGCTGGTGGTTGTTCAGTGTTTGGCCGAACTCTCCCTATGCATATTAGCACATAGGGAGACCTTCGCTGGCTACAGTAGATGGATTTTCATGATTTAATTCAACCAATCATTCAAAAGGAAGTTCTGATTTTGACTCCCATAGCCGTGATGGATCCTTCAGAGCTATTTTTCACCTTGTACAATGGTCATTATTTTTGTATTTTCATTAATACAATTTGAAGTGAGAAAGTGGCTGTCTCTCTTCCATTATTTCATCATAGAGTAAAGTATAGGGGTCATTTTATGTAGTGAATGGGTACTTAGTACCCACATATTTTTTTAGCAAAATGACGACTTGTTTTTAAAGGAAAATTGAACTAATCATAAAATAAGATGTACGTTGATGACTTTTAAGACGTAAGAATAAAATAAATGAAAGATAATCCCACCAGGAGTGCATGGAGTGGACAAGATAGAAGGAAAAAAGGGGCAATCGTAATTAGAAAACATTGACAAAATAGGTATTGCTTTCCGCCGCAAAAAATGATGACGATACCCATGGAGCAACGGGGGCCTTAGTATTACAACATTATTAACACGGTCGATGGAAAACGACGGGAAAGAGCGCACGCTACTAACGTGGTGAACGCTCAAGATCATGAGGCGATAGGTTCCAATCAGACTAACGTACGCGTCAACAAGGAATAAATCTAAAGGCCAGACTCCAGATATCGTCGGGTCAGATCTTTGGGATCATTTATTTGCACATGGTTAACTTTGTTTCACCGCATGTCGGGCTAGAGAATTGCAAAATATTTGTTTGCTGACTAAAACGGAACGGCTACATGACGCAGGGTCCATTTCTATAGCCCCCATCCCCCCCACATTCGAATCTTAAATAAAAAATTATATCATAATTTTGTGCTAATTATGTGCTATTTTGTGCCGCAAATTAAAAATTTTTGTGCTGCAAA